CTCGCGAGGCCTCGTCACCAACTGCCCCGCTGCGAGGCGGCCGGTGCCCCTCCTCCAGCGGGTCCGGGTTCTCCTCCGCCTGCGGAGCGTTAGGAGCCAGGCCCCGCAGAACCCGCGTACGCCGCAACACCGACGAGCAACGCGCCGCCTCTCAGCGCCCCGACTTTCCAGCAGCCGCCCGCTAGAGGAAGCCAACGAGATCAGCCTTCGGTTGAACCACAGAGCGGCAGGGATGAGAACAAGGGCTACGGTCTCATCTTCCACAGCATCCTGTCCTCCCGCTCCCCTCCCACGCAAGCAGGAGCCTCCTGGACATTAGCAACGCACACAGATCTTGCTCAAGCAGTGGGAGCGGTCTGGTTTACCTCTCGGCGGTGATCTGTGCTACCCCAAGAAGCAGAACGCTTGTGAGCACTGGAGCTGGCTTTCCCCGCTTCCGCGTCATGCCAGGACACCGGAGTCTGAAGTGATGAGAAACACGGCTGAGAATCATCACAACATTTTTCGGGTTTAGAGACTGGTGGTCGAGTCCCGAGAGCAAGTGATCAAGCGCTGCCCCTTCGCAGTCCTGTTCCAGTCTCCCCCCGTTAACACAACGCTCAGCAACGCGCGCTAACGCGGAGCCGCCTATTTATATTTGCCAAAACAACGTCATTTTGGCCAGATTCGTGCCTATCAGGAAACCGGACCTCACAGACCCACACGGCCAGAGCCCTGCCCAGAAGTCAGTGGCTTAATCACCACGAGTACCTGGCAAGATAAAGGGCACCAAACCATTTACTCCGGAGAAACAACCGCAACCGCCCCCTGCGCTGCTCGCCCGGGCTCCCGGCCGCCGAACGGTGACGCAGGGTTTCAGGCACTCGTTGTACAAAGCAGCGTTACCGAGAGGAAAAGCCTCACCCAACTGTGAGAACACACAACTCGCTGCTGAGACCTCAGGCTCCCGTATCGGAGTTCAAAGGCGTAACCCAAAGCAGAGCTTGGCCTTGCAGAGCGGCGGCGGCTGCCGGAGCGCTGGCAGAACCCAGCTGCCTCTCCAGCTCACGTCCCTCCGCCTGCAGGGCTGGCGGTTCTCAGCTGACTCTCTTCAGGCAGAAAACCAGCCTCAGCACCACGTTACTCAGCTGCTTTCCAAGCAACAGCCACATTTGGAGTATCAATGGCCATCAGAGAGGGCTGTTAATCTGATCAGCAAAGGGTGTGAACTTCCTTCCACTGAACTCAGCCCTCTCGGCAGAGACTCCGGGATCGGAACGGTCCCAAGGCACATCGTTTTCGAGACCGGCCATCATTTTTTCCCCCCAACATCACATTTCGGTGCCTCTCCAAAGGCTCACCCTGTGTCGCTGCTGCCTGCCATTTCTGTGGGAGGCTTTGGACGATACTTCCCTCCTCCATCCTCAGCCACAGGCTGCCAGAAGGTGCAAGGGCCTGAGAACGGTTCCCCTCCAAGCAGCTTAACTGATCTCCCCAGAGGCTACTGCAAGAACAGCAGCTGTTTTCAGCAACCCTGTTGAGTCACTGGGATGAGAGAAGCCTCTTCTCTCAAAACAGGTTTTTACATTTATTTAAACCAAAGGAACAAGGCAAGATACCTAGAGAGGGACCAGGTTTCCCTTCTGTAAAGGCATACAGGCGATTCCCGGGCAGAAATCCAACCCTCTCCTGACTGAAGAGGCTCTGAATGAAAAAAGGAACCCCCTCCTTACACACACCACTGTAAGCAGAGCACACTCCGTTCCCTACAGCTAAAGCCATTTGGTGTCCAGGTCTCCGTTCCGCCACGCCTGTAAGCGGCAGGCATCGAGGCACCAAGTTTCCTACCCGATTTACAGCGTCCAGGGGGTTTGAGAGAAGAAATCTGTTCAGCCTGACCCACTGCTCTGCCGTCCCGCTAAGCTCAGAGCGGCGGGGGCCAGCCGTCCCCGTCCTACCCCCGCCCCACGCCGGAGCCGAGGAACAGACCAACGCGCCAGGAAATTCTACGGCAAAGAGCGACCTCGCGGCCGCGGCACACGGCACGTCTGATCTCGCTTCCTACCTCAAATGGTCTCTCCTGAACAACTCAAACATCATTATTTGGCCGTTAGCCCAAAACATTGTGTCATTTTCTATCCCAGCAGATCACGTACGTAAGGAAGCTGAGGAGAAGAGGCAAAGGTCTAAGAGGCCAGACCGCAGCCCCGTCCCACAGCACCGCAAGAAGCTGAACTCCAGCTGCTACAACAGCCCTGCTTTGCAGGACACGAGGGAAACGCTCCTCAAAGTCACTGGAAGCCTCCCGAGCCCTGCCTGGGAAGTCACTTACTGCAGCCTCTTGCTGCGGCACCGGCGCTCACAAAAAACTAGGGCCTAAAAAGGAAGAAAAGAGGCTGTTTGCGAGAGGAAGGCCTGAAAACGAAAAGCACACGGGCGTCCCAGCTCTCGCAGGCGGACTGTCAAGGCAGAAGGAAGTTACAGAACCTTTTGTACCCACTGTGGCAAAACCGCTTCCTCAGAGAAAAAAAAAAAAAAAGAGAGAAAAAAACCCCCACTTTGCGCAGCGAGATAAAGCCACCAGCTCCAATCGTGTACAGCGCTGCCGTCCTCACCCCCACACCGAGCACCTGCAGTTCTATCTCTCCCTCAACCACCCCGCGATAGCAGATCTAGCGAGCTCTGCAGAACAGCTGATCAGCACCTGAAGGAGGAGGGAAGAAAACATGTCCTGGCTGGCAGAGGAGGTCCCGAGTTTGAGAACTATTAATCCTGAAAACATGGAAGGAGCTGCAGCGTCCTGGAGGTTACGACGAGGAACGTTTTGTTAACACACGGGGCGGTCTAGAATCGAGGACTTTATTCCCGGCTTTTGACAGCCAAGTCGTTTGACACACAGAGAGGCTGGTGTGCCAAACAGCAGAGACCACCCCTGTGCCACAGGCACGTTGCCAGGTAAAATTAGCGTTTGCAAGACACTCGAAGGCTGACAGACTGCAGCCCACCTGGCCTATTCGCTGCAGAGAGGAGCGAGCAACTCCACGCTCAGCAGAGTCTGAATTAACAGAGTGGTATCTCCCATTCCAGGAAGGAGGAGGCACCCCCTCTTCTCCAAGCCTTTCCCCAAAAGGGCCACGTGCAAGAAAAGCTAATTAGCCCCAAACCACTGGGGTTCAAGCGCTCCCACCGCTGCTGCTGAAGACAGAAAGGAAGAGTGTGCTTCCCTGACTCAGAAATAAAGTTGGACAAATTCTTTCCCTTCCTTTCCAGCACGCCCTCTGCCCTCAGCAGCGCTCCTGGGCACTGGGACTGAAACAAAAGCAGGCAAGAAAAGGACAATGGAAGTTGGAAGCCAATTGAGAATTTCCTGCAAACAGCCCAGTAATAAATTGTTGAATAGCAAAGATCAAACAGGGAGTTAACAGAGACTGAACCGTGCTACATAAACGACTTGTTAAGTACCCGGATGCTCTTATCCTCCTGAATTCTTTCACCTCTGCAGATAGGCAGGCGCTATTCGCCGCCATACAGCAATATTTACAGGTTGCTAAGAGTTCCTCGAGGTCTGGAGCTTTTCCATTCTCCGGTAGAGCTGCGCTGCTCGTGCTAGCGAGGAGCACCCCTGACTCCTCGCGGCGTGTGGCACGCAGCCCGCCAGCGTTATATAAGGGCTTGGCCCACGACTGCAAGCCAGGGGAAAAAAGGAAAAAAAAAAAAAGAAGGTAGCGTTGAGCCAGTTCTGGAGAAGAAAGCCAGAGGCCATCTGCCTCCAAACAAGGCCAAGGAAATTCTAACTCTGCACCAAAGTGGAATTAATTGAAGCTGAAGCAAAAGAGGAAAAAAAAAAAACCCCAACAAAAACCTTCCTAGAAAGTTGCAGCTGGGCGGATGGAAATTTAATGCCTTCCCTTTCACCCCCAGTTTACACAGCTCGTTTCAGTTCTGCAACCCTCTCCCGGCCCAGAGTCTTCCAGGGCAGTCTGCTGGCATTCATACCTGGGTGGCTTTGTCGTTCATGCACGAAGTGGAAGCTCCTTCGGCGTCCCTTGGCCACTGTCCCAACAGGTACGAGCCCACGATGGTGTCCAGCGACGAGGTGCGCCGCACACGGGGCTGCCGGGGCCGGCAGGTCTTCTCAACAGCAGCAGCACAGGGCACGCTAGCTAGACACGGGCGGGAAAGAAAGAAAATTCAACTTCCAAAGCCAAGATTCAGCAACAAATCTCACAATTAACCAGCCCGCATCCCTTGCAAAGAGCACAAGTGACCCAGCACACGCTGCCCGGAGAAGTCCATTTATTTTTCGGAAACAGAGTCCTATTGCCCAGCGAGTTCCCGCTCTCCCAGCAGCGGCGGCTCTTCCCTGCCCAGGCCACGCTGCTGCCCAGCCTCAGCGCAGGCAGGTTTTGCTGCTATCGAAAACAGAAACCCCACTTCAACAGTGGGCCAGTGGGGGATGGAGTGCCCCCTGCGCCTCCCTCCTCGCCCCTCTGCAGGGCCGCAGTCACGCTTATCTCCCCGAGACCGCTCCTCGAGAAGCAGAGATTTTATTGCAGACCTGAAGTGGCTGCTTGAAGCCATTGATTAGACATTCCAGTCTAAGTCGAGGGAGCTGCTACACAACGAAATACTCGGCCTGTCCACGTCGCTTTTGCACGAGCCCTGGAGGAAAAACCCCACCACTATGCTGCTGGTCAGGCCGGGTTTCTCACTAGCTGGAGCACGATGCTTAGTTGGAGAATCCAGGGTCTGACCCAGGGTAAGAGCAGCTCAGCCTCCCCCAAGGAAGCACGTTATTGCTCGCTTCCAGCTTCAAGGAGGCCAAGAGAACGTCTGCAAAGTTTGGGATCCTCCAGCGGGACGAGGTGAGCACTCGGGGGGGGGGTGGGGGTCAGCAGGCGCGTGTATTCATTCAGCAAAGACCAGAAAGGGACGTTCACTGTCGTAACCCACGGCTGGCAGGGCCCAAGCTGGCAGCCGTGAGACGGCCGCGCTGCCCGTTCAGCCACTGCTTTTCGCAGCAGTAGCCACAAACAGCGGCGGCAACGCTTCGTGAGGAAGACTGTGTGTCAGCAAGGGCGCGCACCAGCGCAGCCCCACGGCAAGGACGGAGAGCCAGGAGTCCCTCTTGGCGGGCTCCGGCAAGGGGAGACGGACAGCACGTGCTTTGCTGGGCCCTCTCCGATTCCTCCGTCGCATCCCGGCCGGCTCCAAACTCGATGGGATCAACGCACGGCCCGTGGGCAGGCAGCGCAGCTGCCCTCTTCTGCAGCCCTGTCGTCACCCTCGCAGCTGAAAAAAGGTGTTACGGCCAAAACCGAGAAGGGAGCAAGAAAAAGGCAAGTTGAAGCCAGCAGGGAAGTTGGCATTTCATCTTGATTAGACATGCAAATTACCACGCACATTAGAACCAGCCCCGTGGCCTCCTGGCAAGCTATGAAGGCCACGCACAGCTCTGCGCTCCAGGTGCTTTGTGTACAGACATTCTCTTCTTCCTCCCCAAAACGAGGGCACGGCAGGCAGGTAGTGAGTTAACCACACTAAAACCAGCGTTAAACTGTTACCACTACGGTGTGCTTGCCAAATACCTCCGTACGCACGGGCGCTGCGGCGCCCACCGCGGGCTGAGACCGTTCCAGGGACGTGGCCGGTTAAATACTTCTTTTTTTACCAGCTAAAATACCATTTGAGCAGGAGAATTCGAGTTGTAGGTGAGAAAAGGGTAGGAACAAAAAGCCACACGGGAGGGCAAGAGAAGCATTAGTCCTTGCACGACAGCCACACCTCGCACGGTCCACACTGGATCAAAGGCTGATTGTGTCGGGTCCAGCTGGCATTTCGAGGCACACTCCCCGCTCCCGACAGTTAGCCGTAAGGCAGCTCCCACTAACTCTAATTTAGAAACTCATTAGTATTTGCAGCTTCCTCTTCAGCGCCTCATTGCCCCCACAGGCCATGGTACTCGCATCTCCATCACGCAGGACTTCAGCCGCCTCTTCCTCCCGCGCTGCTCTCCCCCAGCGGGCTGCTGGCACGAGCCCCGAACGCTGCTGCAACAGGGCAGCCCCTCTCCCACGCTGCTTCGAGAGCACACGGCCCCCTTTCCGAGCTCTCAAGAGGCCCCCTTCGATCTAAGCACCGCATCCAGAGGGACTGGGGTCACCTTCGTACTCCAAACCTTCGACAGGGCAACACAGAACCGGCCTGAAAGGACCTCGAGGACAGACATGACCCAGAGCAGGAGACGTGGTCTCCGACGGTGACAGGCGCATCAGCTGTGTATGGCGGACACACACCCAAAGCTCTTCATGTACCAACAGCCAGAACTGTTGTTCCTTTTCACCAAGTACAACCCGGCTACCGAACAATTCAGTTGGTTTTTGAGAAGCTCCGAGGGGCCGGGGTGCTGCCAGGAGGGGCCGGGGTGCTGCCAGGAGGGGCGCCCCTCCTCACGGTGCAAAGGCTGCGTGCGCAGCGTAGCGTTTCGGGCACACGGAGGAGGGTGTGGGAGAGGCACCGGGGCAGGGTGGAGCGTCCTGTTTACAGCTCCGTGCTATTATCATCCCTCACACCGAGCCTGCACAGCTGCCACCTGGCCACGAGCTCTGGAGCTGGTCCAAGCCCGCTCCGCAGCTGAGAAGAGTCAGGTTGTGGCACTTTTACTTTTCCATGTGACAGTAAAGCTGCTGCAGATAACAGAACCGTTGCCGTATCTCCAGGAGCCATTTGGCTGCCTCCAGTTGCTGCCCGAGACTTTCACGCAGCCACGAGTCAGAGACTGGTGCAACGCATGTGGTTAAGAGTAGGAAGTTTTCAGTACGGGAGCTCTAGATTTGCCGGGTCCCCAGCCTTTCCCAACCACAACAACATCAGGGAGCTCAGAGCTTCCTAAACTGTCTCTCTAGGCCAGCCAATCTCTGCCTCTAAAAAGAGAAAATGAGTCTTCAGTAAACTCTTCAAACTTTCCAGGGTCATTTTTCCACAAAGCATACTTACAGCCGAGTCAGAAAACCAATGGCAAGCAAACCCAAAGTTCCCATTACTGCTTGCTTCAGAGTTGTACAATTTTCTTCCTTCCCTCTCCTGATTTCACCCTGGGGAAACCGACCCTTTATTATCAGAAGAACGTTTAGAAATGTAGGGACATGCTGTTCAGACCCTGACATTTTTGGAAGTGTGCCCCTGCAAGGGTCTGTCTTAAAGCAGCACGAAATAACAGTCCGTGTTTAAGTGCCATCAGCTTTCGGGTTAACCACGGCACGACGGGCTGAGGTTTCACCGCGCAGGGAAGCTTCCCCTGCATCCCGTAACATCCCGGCACACCCAGCGGGTTCGGATGGGCTTTTCACTTCCTTGGCTCCAGCAGGAGTTGAAAGCTTTCCCGAGAGAATTTGTCGGGGAGAGTTTAGCTGAGATGGAACTTTGGTGACTCTGTCAGTAACCAATTTATGCAAGTGTCTTCCACCCCAGTCCAACCGAAATTACCGCTGATCATTTAAGTTCTGTATCAGCTTCCCCCATCCATACCCTGCAGCGCTCTTTACAACACACCATCTCATTCAGACGATGCTCCTGATTTGGGCGACGGGGGCAGTAAGAAAACATAAACGCCCGAGTTGAATTTCTCATGGGCCTCTCCAACCACAGCGGGACCTTGTGACACAGAAACATCTCCTTCAGACAAAATATTCTCACCAAACCAGGCTGCTGGATGCCTATCAGCGTCCCCTGCTGCACCCCAGCACCGCTTCCTTCATCTTTCCCACCTTCCTAGGCAACCCAGCTGCGAGATCTCGATACAAAACCCTTGGGTTTTTGCACAGCAGCCACTCGGACACAGCCCAAGCAGAAGGGACGCCACGCTGGCATTGCTGCGGGGCTCCCAGGGCAGGAGCTCCTACGGCAGAAAGCAAAGCTGTGCTGCCGGGCACCACCCGAGCACCGTACGATCCTCTCGAGGGCTGCGCTGCTGCCTAGGGAGCTCCAGCCCTGACCGACGGCGTTGGGGCAGAGCAGGCCTCGGCCACAGCATCGCCCTGAGCTCGCTGGCTCCCATCCGAGGCTGGTGCACAGCAGCAAAGCCAGCTGTCCCTTCTCTTCTCGCTTTCAAAATGTAACTGGACAAGAGACACGGGCGGGACTTGCAAGAGCAGCCATCCACAAACCACGTCAGGGAATCACGCTCCACCTAACCTCACTCTGCAAGATGGTACTTGAGCAGAAGATGTGTCTCCTCCGAGGTCAAAAACCACTTGAACTGGGCATTTCCAGTGCAGTGCCGAGGAGCAGAAGTGTTAGTGAGATAAAAATCAAAACCTGAAGCTTCACCATGACGACCCATTTAAATCTCATTTCGATTTCTCTGCAGTTTCATCATGGCGAATCAAGTTACTCAACAGGTCGTCACCAAGGACAAAAAAAAATCCTCAGCAGCAAGCAAGCTTCAGAAATACATCCTCCGTTTTGAACTTCCTTATTTTTTCCAGATGGAGCAGGTAAAGTCCTGACTGCTGCACTGAGGAAACCCAACGGGATCGGTTGGTTTTGAACAGTCCCAATCTTTAACACAGCAAAGGCTAAAAACCTTTCCAGGGAAAGAACTGCTTTTTCCCAGCATCCTGCCTTCCCTGCAGCCTCTCTGCGCTCAGAAGAGACGTGAAGATTTAAGAAACCACGCTTGCAACCATCGCAGTCAGCCCAGGCGCTTCCTTGTGGCACACCAAAGCGCTGCTATTGCGTGCTGCTTCTGCAAAAGCGCTCCCGGAGAGGATCTTAATCTAGCACACAATCTGAAAGGAAGGCAGGATTAGGCAAGGAGTAAATGCTTTTGCTCTGGCAATCCCAGAAAGCCTAAAAGGAGATGAACAGGCAGTTTTACTTGTTCGTAATGAAATTTAAAATGCCATCTTAGTACGCTACAGAGGTCTGCAAGCGTGCTAGAGAAGAGAAGCATTTCACAGGAATTCACAGCACGGTCGGAGCCAGCTACCAAGACAGGAACGAAGGCAAGACCAAGAGCTGGAGAGGAGCTGGGATGGAAGTTCACAGAAGCTGGAGAGAAAAAGGATATCCTCGTCACTTAAAAAGACTGGTCTGTAGCTGCCTTTGTGGAGGAGACAAGGGGAAGATCTCAAGCTTTAAGGAGAAATGGAGCAGGAGATCC